CTCCTGGAGGGGCGGGGGGAGCCTGCCGTCCTCCCCGCACAGCGCTGCCAGGGGCTGCCCAAAGAGGGCCTTGCTGCAGACAGAGCCCACCTGCCCTGGTGCCTGGGCAGGGGATGGGCTCTGCTGCAGCGCTAAGGGACAGGGCAGCCCTCTCCTCCTGCTGCTGTTCCCTCCTGCTGCAAAGAAAAAGAAAGCAGGAGCCTCTCAATGGAGACGGCCAGGCCAGTGCTCCCAGAGCCTGCCCTGCCTGGCCCTGCCCTGCCCTGCCCTGCCCGGCCCTGCCCTGCCCTGCCTGGCCCTGCCCTGCCCTGTGCTGCCCGGCCTGCTCCTCTGTGGGGCAAAAGGTGCAAGAAACCGCTGTGAGTGGCTCTCTGGAGCTTAGAAAATTGCTACTTTGTGCTCTCAAAGTAATTTAATGGAGGTAAATCTAGAGTAGCAGTCGCTATATTTTAGTGCTACAGTTCTGCCTTGTACAAGTCAGCGCTATTCTGTTGTCTCTGTGTTGTTTGAAAAGTAATAATTTGTATGTCATCTTGTGGAGTAAGTCGAGTTCCTCCTGGAACAGGAGGTTTTATAGGCCTCTCAGAGCAATTATGCTGGGTTTTTTTGGCTTGGCTGTGTGCCTGCATATATTACAACAAATTCACGCAGGTCTGCTGTAGGAAAACCCTGGTAGATCAGGACCCTGAACATCTCTGAGGCCTCATATCCACAGTTAGCCTGTGGCAAGCATGCAGCCTGCCTTTTCCCACGGAAATATTAAAAGTCAGGATCTTGTTGAAAGGACATCATGGTGGCCTGCAAGGATTCTCAGTTTTCTCAGCAGGTTGATTATTCCCATAGATTGTATAAGCTTTAATAAGCAAGTAAAAAGGATCACAAAGCTTAAGCTCGTTCTTACAGCTTGTGATAGATTTGGAGACACTAACAAGTATTCCCACAAACCTTTGAAAGGCATCTGTGCTCTTGTTTTCAAGAAGAGTCGTCTACTTTTTGGGAGCCTTTCCTCCCTGATGTTGTATCCCAGTGTGTTGCACCGGTTCTTTCGACAGCTGAGGCACAGTCCTTTGTTGAACGTGTTGATGTCATTGCACCAGTATGCTGTGCTTTGCTTATCCTTGTGAAGCAGAGAGTCGATGAACAAATGAACTGACCTCTCATGGGCACATTTTACAGTTTGAGTGATGCCTGAAAAAAATGAAACAACAAATTTTTGCATGCCCTTGTTCCTCTTTACCATTTCAACTGCAGAGGACTACAGTAACCAACTGTAAACATATGCTGTTTTTCCCCTGCCCCCTTTACTACTAAAATATTTTTATTTTGCCTCAGAAATCATACATTGCAACAACTTTACTTTTAGGATCATTAAAAAATAGCTTGTCTGAACCCACATGATAATAAAATGGAGTAATTTACTGCTTAAATTTCTTTAGCCGAAGTGTTTTAAGACTATAAATATGAATCTTCATTTCATTGTACTGGCTGTTTTGGTCAGTATGAAATATAACATATGCAGGCCATATGTAGATCATGCCACATTAAAGGCAGCAGTCTCATTCTGAATGGTTGAACACTGCTGTCTTTGGATGCTGATGTGGTAATGTCATATTTTGTCCCTATCAGAGTGACAAACTCATGTTGAATTAGTATTTCCTTGCAGCTGCTACTGGGGAAGAAGGAGCAAAAATATATTAAATCCATTAAAATTATTAAATATATAGATCTTTTTTTTACTGGAAGTATCTTTTTCTTCCTTAAGTCTCATCAAGTTACAAAATCTATTTTCTTCTATGAATCAGGATATATCACAATGACTGCTCTTATGTCTTCACATAAGCTTTTTAGCTGATGATTTTTTTCAAATTTGTCATGAATTATCCACTAGCAGGTAAGGCCTATTTTTAGATAGTGTGATGACAGCTGAAAAGTATTTTTGTAATGTAGTGAGCTGGGTAAACAGTATTCTTTTGGGGTTTTTTGGTGAACAGTTCTGGTTGTCACTGCGCATCAGTACCTTTTTTCAGTATGTTGCATCAGTTTCTCTTTATGCTTATGTTTAGGTACATTTGAAATAAGCTTCCATACATAAAGCCTGGCCTGCAACACTGGCAGTCATGTCCCAGGGAGCATCATCTGCACAGATGAAGGACGGGAAGTTGGGAAAAGGTGAAGTAAGGAGGCGAGTAGTAAAGCCCTGTGTTTTATTTGTTTTGAAATAATTAGTTGCACAGTAGATGAGTGTTGTTTAATTAGAGTAAGTTTTCTCATTTCCTCTAGTGCTAGAACAAATACCTTTGAAATGATTCAGAAGTGCTTGACAGCAGGGTGCTCATGGGCTCATTTTCAGACATGCTAGGCAGCCAGATTCCTTATTCTAGCCAGTAACAAGTTTGTACTCAGCACATGTAAAAATCAGATAACAAGTTTCTAGAAAATAAATGTCCTTGCATTCCCGTTATCTCTGTGGTCTTAAACAGTATATATGTGAAGTTTTCCAGAGATGCTGCCAATGCAGCTGCAGTGCTGCTGAACATTTTGTGCTGCTGGTTCTTACCACTGATTCCGTACTGTGCGATGTGGTTGTACACGTGTATGACGTGGCAGCCAGGCTGAAAGGTGCCTCCATTGGGATAGAAGTCAAAATGAGCCACAGGCTGCTTGATGCCAACACTGAGACCCATGTGCTGCTTAGTGAATGTATGAATTGCATCTACAAAGTTTGCATCATCTGGAGATAAACGGTCTGTTGGTGACATTCCTTCAAACAAGGGACCAGCAGGGTCAAGGCCTGCAAGAAATGCAAATAATCCAGCTGTGATATACTGCAGATGGACTCTTCTTTTACTGTTGTGAGAAAAGTCTGTGATAAACGTTTAAAAACAGACAGCACTGGTACTTTACAAGGTTTTTCACTGACAGAAACAATGCTAGGATAACTTGTCCTGCAGAGAGGCTACATGGTTATACCAAAAAGGTAAAGAAACAGAGGCACTGGAATAAACAGTAACTGCTACATGCACAAGGACACAGGCCCAGAGATAGGTGTGTTTGCTATAGACAAACTGTGCTTGCTGCCACTTTGTCACTTGAGGGATGTTTACTTAGTTTTGTTCTTTCAGGCTGTAGAGGTCACGTATTTCAGAGGTCCTTTTGAAGACAACAGTGCTGCAACAAAGTTGACTTTTAGCCCACATTTAGGACCTGAGACTTTAATGTTTCAATTGTTGCTTAGAAGAGCTTTATTTCTGCTGGCTGTTGTTTATAATAGTTTTCCAACCTAAAAGGTCTTCAAGGCACATTTATATGGTATTCAGTATCCACTTAGGGAGTCTTGCTGAGTTTAGTTTGCTAGATAGTTTTGTGTGGTGCTCTTCTTGGTTGGGAACTTATTTATGGACTACCTGTGTTATTTAAAGCTGCCTTCAGTTTTGAGGGCAAGCTTCTAGATTTTAGATTCTTCATCTGGTACTGTGGACTAATGTAATTGCATAGATGCAGCTGCACAAGATTAATAGCACAGGCTGCAAGTGGGGGTGATACCTTGAAGGCATACATTCTTTTGTATTTTTAATATTTTTTATCACTGAATTTTTGGAGCTTAATATTGCAAGTCTGAATAATTTGTGGTGAAGAATGCAATAAATATTTTTTTTTTATTTACCCATTATCGAGGTTTGAGGCACTAATATGGTTTGAACAAGCAGCACTGGTGAAGTAAACACAGGTGTAATAATACAACACTGTAAAATCAGCTTCTTGGCATACAGGCGGTTCCACAAGAGCTAATTGTGTGAAGGACGATGGTACGTGGCAATGAATCCAAGATCAGAATTGAGACTTCAAACTGCAGTCATGTATGTTTGCCTTACTCCCAAATCAGATTAAAGTGAAATGTTTTCTCTGGTAACGTCAGTGTAGCTGTTGTGGGCATGTAAAATGCACTTTTGTTGTGTTGTGGTTTTTTTAGCCTATCACTGTGCATTAGATGTGGTACTGTATACAGTGTATCAGTAGCCTTATAAACGTATTTTCATTACATTAGTAATTAATACAGTTACAAAACATTACAGAAGGTTCAAGATTTCACTAGTCAAAACAATAGTGTTATAGTTAACTTTGTTTACTGAAAGCATCTATTAGAGGTACTTGTAATCTAGGACTATAGTTTTTGCCACAGAAGAAGTTCCTTCAAATCACTGTGTGAGCAGTGTATCATAACTGAAAGCGCAAGCACAATCAAACCATTTCCATAATGTATTTTTCTTTTTAAAATTAGGTGCTGCTGATGAGTGTATTTTAATGACTTTGGGTCAAGATAGTGACCAAAGATCCAACATTAATGGCTGACATTTAATTTAAAGTGTAACTGGGAATGGATAAATTCAAGCAACATGCAACTGGAATGTTTAGTTTGATTTGTAGTCCCCACACTGGTATATTCTGTGTGTCATAATTTGGACTGATAAAAGGAAATTATTAGGAAAGATAAAAGCTAGAAATACTATGATACTTTGTTTTGAAAAGTGTTTTCACTACATTTTCTAAATTGAATTTCTAACCAGTGGGATGAAGCTTCTAAACTATGGCAAATATTGCTGTTCCACAGGTAAATATTGATATAACATTGGCATGTCAAATATCTATATATCTTAAAGTTGTTGAATGTTACATTTCTTAAAGTTATTAGTCTTTTACCTGTAATTCTTCCAATCTTTTTTGTACCACTGATAAAACTTCCAGCAAATCCTGAAACATGAGCTCCTAGGCTGTACCCAATTAGATGAGCATTTCTTCTGGAAAATTGAATGGACTCCTAGAAGATAGCAGCAGCTTGATTCAGATGCAGAAAATGTGAAAAGTAAACAGTGAAATATTTACTACAAAGAAATTTGTTTGTTGGTGATGGAAGTCAGATGAGGTGCATCGATCACACACTAAATTTCTTTGCTGGCTGAATGTTATTCCTTGCCTACTTGTCATGTACCAGGAAAATGCCACACATTTGGGCACTGCTACTTAGCTTTTTTTTTTCCTGAGAAACTTGCACAAGCCAAATTAGATGCCGAAGTATCAACAGTTGATCGGAGATGCCAACTGATAAGGCAATGATATTTTTTGACTGATTTGTGGAAAACAGCATGTCTGATCTGAAGCAAACCTATTGAAACAATTGGTCTCAGGCCTTTCTTTCTGCATAATCAATACTATCTAGATCATAAGCATTTCACCAGACCTGCAAGGTCGGTTTTTCTGACTTGTAAGGAAAAAAGCCTCCATTTTATTTTCATTGTGGGTATTGCGTGTCCCAATGGAGGTGCTCTGCAGTCTTGATACCTGTCTCTTGTGAAAGTGAGTGAAGCTTGGTAGCCTTCTTTTGAGAGAGACAGCTCTTAGAAATTGCAAGGTCTGACCAATTTTCATGGCAGGTGTTACTGAGATGAATACTATTGAGATTGTTAGTGATCATGCCCTGCAGGCTCTTGGACAAAGAGCACTAATATCTACTTTATTTTTGTTGTTCTTTAAATATTGCACAGCACTGCAGTTTTTGTTACATCCATTGCTGATATTTCAAGTATGCCAGTAAGGAAACTGAAGCATAAAGGAAAAGATAGATATGGGATTTGGAATTAAGGTGTTTCTTAACTGCTACAAACTCAGGAGGGGTACTTCTCAATGATCGGAAGGTTTACTGCTTGAACATGCCCAAATGAATGCTGTGAAAATATATGTTGTGTTTACATCTTGGAACATAATCATGGTACAAGAGCAGCTACCTACAATGCTGGAGAAAGGAGTCTTTTATTCAAACTTCAATTTGTTTGCTGACACAGGAGAAACCACAGACATTCTTTTTTGTTGACAATGTGGCATGCCCTCCTGGGAACTGAACAAAGTCCACCATTTGATTCATTCAATAATTAAACAGCTTCAAAATCCAACCTTAGGCTTCAGCAATTTAAAACATATTTGACCAAGAGCTAATGTTTCTTGTAATGTCACAACAAAAAAATACTCTGGCTTTTCTGGCCTCTCTCTTGTGCTTGTTGTCTCTAACTGAGCATTGTACCTGAAACTTGTTCTAGCCCTGCCATTCCTGTTGAATGCAGCTTAGCCCTTCGGTGGTGCCTGCTACAGATCTTTCAGCTTTGCAGTGTATTTTTCTTGCACCTTAGCCCCTGCCATATTTAAATGAATATATTAAATTCATTGTATATCACTTCATTTCAAGTTAAGTTTTATGAAGTCGTATGAAAGTTTATGAAGAAATATTTGCAATGTATCAAAGAAACTTCAGTGATTGAAACAAACAGAATTAACCAGTATAGTATTTGAGAAAGGTGGTAGAAGCATAAGTACAGGTAAACAGGTCTATTCCAGAGAAACCTGTGATGATCTGGGGGCTCTTACCTCCAGCCATTCCAGGAAGTTTGCTATCTCCTGTCCTACGTAGCGTGTATTCTGTACAGCAATGGGATAGTGCTGGTGAGCAAGTGTAAGCCAGTCTGCAATGATCACATTAATTTCTTTATGCTGAGACTTCAGAGCTGCTGCCATTTTCCAAATCCAACCTTCTAATATTCCATCCACCTGTTGTATTAAAAAAAACACAAAAACAAACACAATCTTAAGAGAAATCAATTTCTGCCAAATATTTCTTGTGAAAAGTTCAAGGAAACAAAAAACAATATAAACAAGGAGGGCTTAATGCTGATAACTAGATTTTAGGGGTTTCAGCATGCTTCAGTGCTGACAATCTGTAGGTTTTGGTGGACAAAAAAAATTAAGAATCTATGTAAGAACTGTATAATAATTTGTCTTGTAATATGAACTATTAGCAGTGAAAGGATGTCCCTAAATATTTTCACTCATCCTGAGATAATTGCTGATACTAATTTAAAAGACAGACAAAAATGTCCGTAAAAATTTTTATTGCATTTAAAAGCAGCTGTCCGTATAAATTTAAGCTAGAATGGTTGTAGAAGGAGGGAAGCTGGAGGATTTGTAGACCAGATTTTTGCTGCTGTGCTATTATAAAATCTGCTTTTTTTTTTTTTTTTATTCGTTCTTTAAGGACCTGATCACCCTTTCCTTACTAGTATCAGACTACTTCTGACTTGATGAACTAGAATAATTATAATCAAATTTAATTGTTTGTCTAGTTGCAGGTATTTCCTTAATTGATAGAACATCCTTATCTCTTCTGGTGTTCTAACAGAATTTG